TTGGCTCGGACAATTGGAGATGTCCTGTGATAAAAGAATACACCTGCGGTGATAATGGCCAGTAAGGCACCCAGAACTGAGAATGTGGCCAGGATGATTCCAAGGATGTCTTGAAATGAAAGAAACTCTATGGGTTTAGGGATACAGGTGTCTCTCTTTGAGTTAGGCCAGAACTCTTTGTGGCAGGGTAAACAGTCAGCTGAATCTAAATCAAAGAAATACATTTTTTTTAAAAAGAAAAAGAGAGATTCTTTTTTTATTTTATTCAATTTTACAGATATTGATAATAATCATCATTCAGTTTTACCTGTAATATTATTAATCTCTCCCTCAGGACACAGTATACAATCATAGCAGCAGATGGGTTTTCCTTTCTGCAGTACTTTACGAGTTCCTGGAGGACAACTGTCAGTGCACACTGACACTGGCACCTGTCAAAGACATAAAGGAAGTGTAATAGATGTAAATATTTTCTGCACAGCTATAAGGATTTCATACTCATTGAATTTAATTATATAGATTCTTGACTCATTACTTTTGTGCTATCTTCCATCCAGTTTATGTTTCTGTTAATTCTAAACTCCTTGCCCACTGGTAGTGACGCATCATACAGTCCTACAGTTACTATCTCAGTGTTGCCACTCTCGTGGTTTTGCCAGTTTACCAGCTCATAGATAGCCACAGGATCCCCATTAGCATTAAAAGACACATCATAACCATTTTGGGAAAAATTTACTTTCTTCAGTTCAGTTAAAACCTGAAAGGATGAGTTAAGACAGAAAGAAAAGAAATAAAAAAAGTTTGATATTTTAAAAATTAATAGTAATATTACACGTCATCCATGTGAGATCAGAAATAATAAAAGACAATGACATTAACATATACGTTTAATCTTACCTGTTTGGGCTCTAACTTGGTTAGTTTGTCACACTGAGTTGTGACATTTTTTCCATGACACACTGCATTATGAATGGCATGTGCTATTGCATACACAGCCTTGTACACCATGTTAGTAATTCTGAGCTGAGACGTGTCAGTGTATTGGCTTTGGAGATTCTGTATGTCTTCATTTCCATCACAAACTTTCTCGTCTACAGTAGCAGCACCTACAGAAAAATGAACAAACATAAACATATCTTTTCACCACTGAACTTTGATCTAGATTTCATACTTTTTATTTTGATAAATCTGACAAATTAGATGTTTTTCTGTAAGCAAGAAAACTTTCTTACTTTTTTTCAGTCTACAGTTGAATGCATCCTCCCAAAACTCAGTGAGCACTGACGAAGCAGCCACTTCAGAGAAAGAGAGATTCAGCAGGAATTCTCTGAGACCTGGGATTGCAGACTTCGGAATACCAAATCCAATGGCCCCAGCACAGAAACTGAACCTCGTTAATTCTGTGTTGGTTACCCATGATTCACTGCCTATCCACTGGCGAGTTGGGAAAGGCTCACGTGAAAGCTCCTCCAACAGGATCTTCATGTCTCCAAAAGATGCAAATGCCACAACAACTAAAGCTTTAGACCTTGAGATACAACATAAAGCATTAAAAACATTTTTTGACTGTCTCATGATATGACATGAAATATTACTTAAAAAAGGAACCTAATTTCAACACATACAATAATCCACATGTTATATCTGTGATATAGAAACCTGCGGATAACATCTGCTACTTTCTGAATTCTGCTCTGTGGGTCTGTCCGATAGAAAGATACAGAGTATTCCACACAGATCCCCTCTTTCTGTGCTGCTTGGAGAAAAGAAGCCATGCCATTATTTCCATAATCCGAATCTGACCGAACAGCACCTATCCAAGTCCAGCCAAAGTGTTTTACCAGCTTGGCTAGTGATTCAGCTTGAAACTGGTCACTGGGAATTGTTCTGAAGAAATTTGGGTACTGCTGCTTGTCAGACAAGCAAGCACATGTGGCAAAGTGGCTAACCTAAAACAAAACAAAAAAACAGTGCTACTCTTTAAATAACTGTGCATTCAAATTTTATGGAGATGTCAATTTTGTGCCAAAATTAAAAAAAATACATACTTGAGGAATGTTAAAGGGACTTATGAGACGTGAAATGCTGATGGATGGTGTAGACCCAGAGTCCCCGACAACAGCCATCACCATACCAGACTGAGAACAATTGTTACCAGTGGAAAACACAGGGTCGAAGCTATTTAGAAACTGAAATGCCACATGCACTGCAACAGGCACTAATGCACATGAATCATAGATCTGGTATCCAAGCTTGATTCCAGGTAGCAGGTCTGTGTTGTTATTAATCTCTTCTATGGCAAAGATCATTGCACGTGAGAAGTGCAGCCCACGGGTGTCAATGCTGTAGACAGTCAAGCAAGTGTTAGAATTAAGGCTACAAGGCTACATATGAAGGACATTTTGGAGGATTGAACCACTGTCAGATAACTACTGGAATTTATCTTTTGTTTTCTGGGTTGACACTTATGAAACTGTTGCTTAACACACTTTAATTTGTGAAGCTTTTAAAACTGGAATAAAACTTAAAATTAAATGAAAAATTGCAAATTATCCAGCATTATTGCTTTACATTTGTTTTTGGTGCGACACAGAGATAATTCAGCACCTTTAAACACAATACATGTCAACTTTAATCCCCCATTATACAATCCAATATGTTGTTATCACACATATCTCACTGTTACTGACCTCCCTTTGCATTTCACAGGCTTTGGTATGCTAGAGTAGTTGTTATAAAATGTATCCATGTAGGCATGAAGGGAGAACGATCCCCCAATAATAAAATCTCCATCCATTGAGAATGCTGGCAGACGAGTGCTACCCTGGAGCTTACAGTTCACAGATGAAACCAGTGTACCAGCATGAGCTGCTGTAAACCTATTCCTATAATTCAGACAATCTAGGCACACAGCCAACACGATAACTGAGTTCAGCTGAAAAAAATACACCGCTAATATCAGACCAATTGTAAGACCCGCTGTCTCCATCCCTGCCTGATGTCAGTGGTTTGTATATGAGTGTAAGAGAGTTTTCACTGGTTTATATAGGTATTTTGACAAAGGCTGTTTTTTTTCTTTTTTGTTTTCTTCAAGAGGGCGTGCCCCTATCCAGTGATGGTTGATCAAGTCTTGAGTGTAACCTCTACAGTGTTTCCATGTCTGTGTTCTCTTCTTGTAAAATATTTTCAGCTGGACTTTATATTACAAATTAGAACTAACATTATAATAGTGGGGAATTAATTTTTAAGTAGGGAGAAAATAATAAAAAATTACAATTTATTTCTATGAAATTATCAAGATGTTACTGAACAGGAAGCGGAGTATCAACTATGGATGTTTAAATTTAAAGAAACTGAAATTTAATTAGTGAAATAATAAAAAGTGATCATGAATGGCAAGTAAAATAACAATGCCTATGAGGCAAAAATTTTATATTTTATATATTATAGTTATATAGTATTTTTATTTGAGTAATTTTAGTAACAATATGATAATCTATATGCTATAATGTGATAACGTAGCCTTTGGAAGTTTTTTTTCAAATTAGTGACAGTAATATAGAAGTAACCTCATTTTATTACTGGAGTTTGTATCACAACAATAGGGAGTAAATGCTACCCAAACAGTGCAGGAGCCTCCTTACATCCCAGACTCTGTATTGCATTGTGTTGGACTGGGGTCCATTGTGTATGGATGTGACTTCTACTTGTCCCCTACTTTGTGCTGTGGTTGTGTTGTTCTGAATTGAATCATGTAGCGCATGATCAAGCTGATTATTTTGAGGTGTGAATGGCTTGCCTAAAACAAACAGTGTGAGACTGGCTAGCTGGCAAATGATGTTATTATTATTATTATTATTATTATTATTATTATTATTATTATTAAGAAGAAGAAGAAACAGAATAACCAAAGCAATAATTGTACTAGAATTGTTGCTTTCCAACAATCCCACCAATGATAAAGCTTGTTACCAAATTTCGTAGTTCATGTGTAATCACATTTGTTATTACATGTTTGATAATAAGAATCGGGAGTATTAAATGGAAAATTGCCTGTTTCAGTTTTCCATGTTAATAACCTAATAAACCAAACTTAGTTCAATTCAATTTTATTCATATAGCACCAGCAGTTACCTTAAGGCACTTTATATAGTAAGGTAAAGACAATAAAAAAAGAAAACCTCAACAATAAAATAACACCCTATGAGCAAGCAATTTAAAAGAGCAGGGAGTGAAAACTCCTTTTTACTAGAAAGAAAACTGACAGAGCTATGTTCAGGGAGGGGAAAACATCTGTGATGGGAGGAAGGCAGGACAAAAAACAAACTGTCAGCCAGGGACCAATACTAAGTAATGATTAAATGCAATGTGTAAGTACATAGTAAATGAAAAAGTAATTAATGAAGAGACACTTTGGTGTTGGTGGGCCTACAGGAGATCAGGTCATGCCGTTTCTTTGGGCTGTGCCCCGCCAGAAACATCTCAGTGAATTGGCACCTTATTGTGGTGGACTGGTTTATAGTTTCCACTGATCCCAATGGCTATGTTGTCAGGGAGCTTTATCTCCCCCCGGTAGGGTCTTCCAAGGCAAATTGGTCAGAGGTGAGAGGAAGCAGTTCAGTTGCACAGTGTTACTGGACCCTTACCCTGGAGCCACGGCTGTGGAGGGAGTTCAAGAGAAAAAATCTGTTTGCTGTACATAATTATAAACCTGTGAGATTGTTAAAAAAAAAAATATTTTTCTCTAATTCTTAAAATTCTATTTGCAAAATAATTCATACTTTTTTTTCAAGAAAACGTTAAAAGATTATTTGTTTCAACAGAACTTTTGGTATTTGTCAGCCTGGATACAGAGCTTACGATTAGAGAAGTCAGAAAGAAACTCTGAATGAGAGCCAGGTGGGTGATAGATATGTCATACTCAGTATTAGTTCATTTTGACTTTTTTTTCCTCCAGGTCTGAGACACTGAGCAAGCAGTCTCCAGCCCATTCAATTCATTTCAATTCAATTCAGTTCAGTTCAGTTCAGTTCATTTCATTTCAATTCATTACATTACATTACATTACATTACATTTTTTACCAGTTGCTTCAAGGCACTTTATATTGTAAGGTAAAGACCCTACAATAATACAAAAAACCCCTGAAAAGACCCAAACAAGCAGATGACCCCCTCTCTAAGCAAGAACACTCTGGCAACAGTGTGAAGGAGAGGCTCCTTTTTAACAGGAAGAAACCTCCAGCAGAACCAGTCTCTGGGGGTGGGTGTGTGTGTGTGTGTGGGGGGGAGGGAGTGTGTAATATGTGAAAGAGAGCTAGAGATTAATAACAAGTAACGATTCAGCGCAAAGTAGTGTATAGACATACAGCGAGTAAAAAATGTGAAGGAAAAAG